GTCATCCTATTGCTCCCATTGCTGAATAGCTATATTACCTTCTTTAAAAGTGTACTGACCCCAACATTTTGAACAGTAGTGTATGTACTGAATGCACTTGTGAGTTGGGTCTTTTTTGAAACTAGAAAGTTTAAAATCTTTTGTAGATCCATTTCAGTTAGCATGCAGTGAGAGCAGAGCTACATTAGCTAGATAATATTAGTTAATTTGTAGGCAATACATGTTGGATTCTGGTTTGTTGTCATCAGTTTGTGTTGGAGGGTTATTAATGTTTTAGTATTTGCAAGTCACTGTGCACAGATAACACCATTGGAACCCGGATTCATGGAATTCCATGAAAATGCCCTTTATTTGTAAATGTGAGGCTTCAGGTCTTTGGGCTCCTGTCCTGGTTGACCTGTACAACGTGAGCGTGTAATTCCTGGTTGTGTTTGCATCATTCTTTCATTAGATGTATCATGAATATTGCACTATGCTGCTTTCTCTTGTAGTGTGTTTGGGTCACTGTCCTGTGCATGATAACCTGGAATCAAGATGTTTCTCTGGATTCATCTGTGTTGTTGTTACTGATTATAGTCAATTTATGGTTAGTTTGGTAGTTGGTTAGTTAGTAAATGAGCAAGCAGGAGCCAGACAGATAATTTTTTAGGAAGCAAATGTGCCTTTGTATGAAGCAGCTTTCATTTTTGAACCAATTTACAACTTTTTCACAGCACTGTATGTATGTATGTATACATAGTGTAAGTGTGCATAGAGTGTTGTGAATATACATAGGAACAAAAATAAATAGAATAAGTAAATAACTTTTTCAACAGCATGAAGTTGGTAAAAAGCATGAACTGATCAAATGTATGGTATACCTTTAATGCAATATATGGATAAAAACGTCTGTCAGATGCATAAATGTAAAGGTAAATATATTACGCACATCACAACCAGTAGCATTTGAATTGAATCATAAACTTCAAACTGTCTTTGTTGTTGTAAACGAACCACTGTCTGATTCTAATCGGATTCGAATTGAAGTCTTTGGTTTACTTTGGAAAACACTGGGAAATTACTGATTTGAGCTCTTGAGTTCACGACACATCGTGTTATCTAGTGAACGCAGGTCACTGTCACTCATGAGAGGAGCTTGTGCTCTAAATGTGATGTAACTGAGTGGATATTTCAGGTAATGGGGTCTACAGTAATGGGATCAGCTCCTGGATTTACAAGTTATTTGAAGTGCCCGACGCACTGCATTGTGGGAATGTACTCATGCACATAAACATTTTGCATGTGACTGCTTGATTTTTCCTATATACAGTGACCCCAAGAAGTGTTCGGGTGTTTTTATGTGTGCGTCTCAATTGATGCACAGATTGCTTAATGTCTGACGTCTCAGGTGTTTGGTGATTTTTAGTGGATGTATGAAGTCAGTTCTCCTCAAATGTACAACACGGGAACCACAGATGTAGAGAATCACATTAACTAACAACATCCTCCACAAACTATCCAAAATAAAGACAAACTTTCAGGAAAAAGCACTAAACTGTGACTGTGGTGTACCCTTTCAAAAGGTACTAATATATACACTTCAAGTACTAAAATGTACTAGTTAGTGGTAAATAAGGTACAAACTTAGTACAGGTTTGTACTTTTTTTTTCTGAAAGTGTACTGATTGTCTTCATCTATTGATTTGGCAATTAAAACCCAACAAACTTTTGTCTGTGTTTGTGCATCTTTCTTTACAATAAATAACACTTGATTTTATATATTGCATCTGATATAATCACATTCAGATGGTTAACAGTGTAACTGAAGTGTCCAAAAACTCTTTGGGGTCACTGTATATGAGATTGCATAACAAATATATATTAAATATTGTGTTTTCGTATTCCAAGGTGTTGATTTTAAGGCAGAAACGAAAGATTTCAATATTTTTCATCACATTTGTCGGACTTTTTCTGGACTGTCAGTCATGTTGTCAGTTCAGTTTAGAAAGTAGGTTTCTTGTGTTTCCTTTTTTGTCATGGTGATGCATCAGTTTTCTGGAATTGAATGTTCAAACCCGCACGTCACCTGACCTGGTTCTGGATGTCCTGTCAAGTCTGTGAGCGGTTCATGACATTCACAAGGACACGTCTTACACATCACGTTGTGTGCAGATTATCAGTCCTTAGGGTGTGTGTGAGTGTGTGTGTGTGTGTGTGTGTGTGTGTTTATGGATGCAGGATTAGAGTAATTCAGTGTGTCTGTGGGTTAGTATGTCAGTGTATCAGTAAGTCAGTAGGTTTCACCGGAACAAAAATGTCTTTGAATTAAACCCACAAAGTGGCTGTTTCCTGCGTTTGTTTGCATACACACACACTCACTCACTCACTCACTAACACACATACATACACACTCACTCACTCACACTCACACTCACACACACACACACACACACATACACACATACACACTCACTCACTCACTTACACACATACTCACTCACTCACTCACACACGTACACACTCACACACATACACACATAGACACTCACTCACTCACTCACACACTCACTCACTCACTTACACACACACACACTCACTCACTCACTCACTCACACACGTACACACTCACACACATACACACATAGACACTCACTCACTCACTCACACACATACACACACACATACACACTCACTCACTCACTCACTCACTCACACACACACACACACACACCCCCCTCTCACACACACACACACACACACACAGCCTTCTCTGACCCAACACAAGTTATGATGTTGTCTATAGTGTTTACTGGCATGGAAAAACGAACTCTCAAAAAATGACCATGATACTGTACTATAAAAATTATTTTTCAAAGTTGTAAATGAAACAGTGATTATTGGATTACAAGAAAATACTATTTCAGATTTTTTTGTTTTTTTGTTTAATTCATTGTTACTTGCCATTTCTTTGTAACAGTTTGTGAAATGTACTGGCAATTTCTGAGTAAAAATTGTTTGTGCACTAATATATATATATTAGATCTCCTTCAAAGAGTTTCCGAAACTTTTAGAATATAGCTTGTCCTGCACTGAAAAAAAATGGTGTAGAAACAGTTTTCACTCATAAATTGCTTGTGAATTTCACAAATAATTACAGAGAATCAGTAATATTAGTATTTTCTTGTATAACACAGAATTAAACATGACGTTTTGAAGTAGAAAGGCTGAAATGGTATTTTCTTGTAAAGCGTGCACTAATAAGCTTTGTTATATTTATCATGGTAAATTTTCATAAGTGCATTGAAAGTCTTTATGCAACTACGAGTTTTTAACTTTCTACATTACATTAAAAGCCCTTCAGTTTATTGCATAATGTTGATTTGAAAATGACACTGGAAGCTTTACTGTAAAGGCAACATGCAACACTAAAGCATTTACTTATAGATGAAGGCATTGCAATGTTTTCTGATTTGTAGCATCATTTTTATGGTGTTTTACTAATATTACTGGCATTCTGCTGGTGTGTTTACTAAGTACAGTGAATGACACCCTTTTCAACTTATCTGGCAAGACTTATCTGACCTGCTGAAGTCAGAACAAATGGACCGTCTGAGTCACAGTTATACGTATATCAGCTCACGCATGCAGGTGCACGCGGCGTCAGTCAGGGACAACATGCAACTCTTCTGTACACAACCTGATGAGAACTGCCAAAGAGTTTATCGTTCTCTTTAACTGGCTGCATCAAGTTATGTCTCACGCACAGTTAGGTCCAAAAGTCTCAGGCCTAAAGTGCTTCTCTTTTGCATTGCAAATTATATTATCATAGTTTGAGAGAGAAGTTTAGGTTTAAAATGAACATAAAATGTGAGAATATCTCATTATTTTCTGGATTCCTCTCAGCAGCATTGAATCTAGATAAACTAAACCTGATGTTCATGTGCTTCAGATCCAAAGAGCATCTTGAGCTTCAATCAATGGAAGACGGTTGTCTAAAGTCAAGTCATTTCTATAGTGCTTCATATAATACAGATTGTGTCAAAGCAGCTTTACAGTGTTAAACAAGAAAATAATGTTTCAATGATGCAAACAAAAATCAGCTCTAAAAAGAGGACAATAGCAAACAGTCGATTTTTCAGTTCATTGTTCATATTTCTTTTTAATTTTCCATCATAACTTTTCTTGATTTGTGTTTCAAACATATGTATTTCCAGGTTTAAATAAACACAATCCCAGCTTGTGCTTTCAGACATTTGGACGCCACTGTACCTCAGTGTTTTACACACAGCGACGGTCACACAAGCAATAGTTTGTGTTGTTGCGTGAGTTTGTTTACATTTATATTTGATGTCATGTTTGCAGCTAAACCAAACAAATACATATTTTTATGATGAACAACACTTTTTGTCTTTCTGGTGTAGACTGAAGTCATGCCAGAAAAATTGCACCGTTGGTTACTCGTCAAATATAGACATCTATAAAAACCAATTCAATTATTTGCACAAGCAAACACGCTCTTTGCCTTTTAGACGTTATTGATTGCCTTCATAGAAATACTGCCTTTTTCCAAGATATAATGATTAAATTAGTTGTCGAGAGATAAGAGACTGTATGACATAGAGATGGTGAAATATTGTAATATCGGTCTGGATTTGCTCATCAAAGGCATACAAAAGAACATGTCAAATATTAGGGGTTGTTTGCTTTATTGATGTTTGATGTGACCTTTGTCCTTATTCAAGTCCTCGCATTAAAGCACACGTGAAATAGTAGATAAAAAGTTTATTTTTTAAAATACACATATTCAGCAAAATTACAATGTACAATACAGTACAGATTTCCATACTATCTCACTTATAAGAAAATATTCCTTTATTACAAAAATTATAGAAATTAATCTCAGCGAGTTTTGCTCTTTCAAAGAGCTTTAATGAATAGCTTTAATATGGTGCCATAAGTTACAGTATCATTTTTGTCAAGCAAAAATAAACAAAACACATGTAGATCGGATTTGCATGGCCTGATTTATACGCAAAATAACATATAAAGTGCAGTTGCAGATTCCCTACACTATGCATATGCATTCCTAGGAAGTGCTTCAAACTAAACAAAAGGAGAACAAACACTTAAAATAAACACAAAAAATACACCTGTAACATGTACAATGTAGGTGATTGTACTGTTTGTAGATTATTGTACCACTTTTGCAAAGGTGCTATATAAATAATACTTATTATTATTATTATTAATGTTACAAATAAAAGTAAGTGTATCTGTTTGAATGGAAAATAAGCAGCTTGAAAGGAAAGCCGGTACACATATTTAGTTGCATTTGCTGGTGCTTAGCGTAAACAGTCAAAAGTAAGCTCTGAGAACTAATGTGAGAGAAATATTCAAACATTTATTAGATGCTAATGCAGCAGGCCTTTGCTGGGATGTGTGGCAATAACTAAATGTTTACTGTCATGTTGGGTAAGCCTGGCTTTTATTTCCCTGAGTGTTTCAACATCTATAAAAAAAGCCTCGATTAGAGAATATTTCGCCTCTTCCTGATAAAGCAGATAAATAGGTGTGCAGCTGTGTACTGTTAGGTTTGTGGTCTCCTGTAATTGTTCTTTATGTGCACCCGCAGGACTCGACGATCATGTCCGGGACGTCGGTCTTCACGATGGTGTGCTGCGAGTTGAAGTAGACCATGGAGAGCGGCCGTCTCTGGATGGGGACGCAGCAGGACGACACGGCCGTGTGGATGCCGTTAGCCTTCAGTTGACTGAAGACGGTGGCGTGGAAGGAGGAGGCGATGCCGGGCGAGCCGGATAAATGCTGCGGACACTGTCCCATGCAGTAGTTCATGTGGTAGCCCTCTGGTGCTATGATCCAGTCCTGCCACTGTATGTCGCGGAACTTGATGTAGAAGTCTTTCTTGCAGCACACGCTCACGTCGTCGCCACATCGCAGCGAGCGTTTGCTCAGTGCGTGTTTGTTGGCGTCTTCACGCAACTGTACCTGCGCGACTAGGAAAGGCTGGTGAGAGGAGTCGCCGGATGCTTCGTGACTGCACAGGTTTCGACCGCCGTCTTCGCAGTGCACCTCAAGACGGAGCCTCCGCTGGCCGCCGTCCAGGAAGGCCTGCAGGGCGCCGGTGACCGGGAACGTGTGCCATCCGCCTCGTGACACATCCACGCTTCTCTGGAGCAGCAGCGTGCGATTAGCGCCGCTCGATGCCGGCAGGGAGATTTCTGCGTTTACACGGCCACGGTGATGAGGCGCATCGGCCGGACGCACGTAAAGCCACAGCGACGACTGCAGCACCTGAACGCTGTGACCTTTCTCCTGCAGGAACTGGAACGACAGACTGGTGTCGGTGCCGGCAGAAACCCGCTCATCTGGAGAGAAATCAGACACAGGTGCTTAGAAGAAGTGCTTATTTTGCGAGCGGAAGTAAGATGTTTTTTTGTGAATGTGCCAGACACTGTAAAAAATCAAAAGTTGAGAAAACTTAAAAGTTTAAGGCAACCAGCTTCAGTAGATTTTTTTAGTTTTCTCAACGTGTTGTTTTCAGTTTATACAACAAAAAGTTGAGGAAACTCAAAAATCTCCAACAAAAATGACTTAAAAAAAAAAAATCTGCTGAAGCTGGTTGCTTTAAACGTTTAAGTTTTCTCAACTTTTTGATTTTTTACAGTGTACGTAAATAACTATGCTATAAAAATATATATTTTAAAATTGTAAATAAAGATTATAGAAAAGATTTTATAAGAAAATTCTATTATTACAGTCTTTATACTTCACAATTTCAAGTTTAATTCGTTTCAATTTGTTTGTAATTCATTTTTAAATTTAAAAAGTAATTTTTGAGTGATTTTTTTAAAATAACAAACTGCAATCTGTTTATGATTAATGAAAATTATTTTATAAATTAAAGTTATATGATGACAAAAACAGGTCGCATTATCAAGCAGCATAACCACTGATTTTGTACAGCTAAAATAACTAAGCCATAATACCGGAAGTCCAGCACATTCCTATTACTAATGGCCACGCCCACTCTTAAGTCAAAAAGGAGGTGGATTGGAACAACATTCCAATATTTAGTTCACATGCAGTTTTCAATGTGTAGATATGTATGTAAAATGTTTAATGTATAGTTTGCACGTGCTCGAGGTGTGCAGGTACCAACTGTTTAAAAATACTTTTATGAACGATTTAGAAGCACAAAGAGTCAGATGTACCCACCTTTTAGTTTGTAAATATGTATATAACATTGTTTAACGTAGGCTATAGTTACCAGTTATTAATCATTGAAGAAACCGGATTTGAACAGTGAAAATCGTTCTTAAAACCATTCATTTCAGTATTTTCATAGTTGAAGAAACTGGATCTGAATATGCTTTCTGCCTGATAAAACCAATATTTTCATAAGGAGGCGTGTGCGCTTAACAATTTACAATCAACGCAGGAAGGTTTTTTTGCTTTTATGAACGATTTAGAAGCACAAAGAGTCAGATGTACACACCTTTCAGTTTGTAAATACCCTTACGAAAAAGAAGTTTATTCAAGTGTGCTATTAGTATACTTCTTTTAAACTAAAAATAGGAAAGTATACATTTAGTCTACTTTTTATGTACTTCTCAGAAATATACTTAAAATGACATTTAAGTATACTTGACATATACTGACATATATATTTGAGCTATAATTGTGCTCTTAGAAGTCGTGTTTTCATTGTTATACTGTAGGGCCCCAGCATCGTAACCCTAAAGCATCCAAACCAAACAGATCACAAGGCAACACGAGATCGGCCAATCTGACGCAAGCCCGGCTGTTTCAAATGGGGAAGTGCAGTGTGGTGCATCTGTTCATGCATCGACCAGCGTGCAGAAACTCAACCAACTGCATGGCTCCGTTAAGCGTAAAGTTCCCAAACTATGACGATTAAAGGGTAGTTCGCACAAAAATAAGCATTCTGCCTTCTGCATCGCTTACTGTGCTTCTGAACCTGTTTGAAAATGTCTAGGGGTGCAATGGTTTGGTTCCCAACGTTTTAAAAATATCTTCTCGTGTTCCTCAGAAGAAAGTCAAACCGGTAAATGATAACAAAATGACCATTAGAGCTATTTAAATCAAATACATTAATGCCTGTACATTTATTAAGAGGGCAGTAAAGTGCCAGAGTTTCAGGACTGCTTAGTGAATGTCGAACATTGTAAAAGATTAGTTTAATTAGTTTTTTTAAAAACAAAAATAGCAAAGAATTGGCTATCATACAGTTTAATAGTGCTGATACTATTTATATATTTGAATATTTTTCGAAGTGATAAATAGGCTAATACAAAGTTTATTGGACTACGTGAAATTTCACGTTTAATTCAGCGTTATTTGCCATTTTTGAGTGGAAATTGATTAAAAATGACTTTTTTCTTTTTCAGTGGTAAAATGTGGCATTGCGCTCGTGCATCATGTTTTTAAACCCTGTTTAAAATAGAAGAATTGACATTGACTAAACATTGCAATATGCGAGCAGCACGAGCAATAAATAAAAAGCAAGGGTAAAGAATATCGATAGAATGTTTTTCATCCCTACATGGGCTTGTGGAGTGATTGAGGGTGATTAATTAACACAGATAGCTTAATGAACCCGCGGGACATCAGACCATCAGCAGATGCTGTGAGCCTCTCAGACTCGCAGTGCGCAGGCGCCGTCTAGTGGACACACATCAGTGTTCTTATGGAGATCAGACATGATGAATGCTGTCATCTGTGCATGGGTTGCATCATGTCAGCCGTACAACACTCTTAAAAATAAAGGTGCTTCAAAAGGTTCTTCAAGCGATGCCATAGAAGAACCATTTTTGGTTCCACGAAGAAGCATTCAGTCAAAGGTTCTTTAAAGAACCATCTCTTTCTTACCTTTTTATAATCTGAAGAACCTTCTTTTCACCACAAAGAAGCTTTTGTGAAACAGAAAGGTTCTTCAGATGTTAAAGCTTCTTTATGGAACCATTTAGACAAAAAGGTTCTTCTGTGGCATCGTGAAGCACCTTTATTTTTGAGAGTGAAGTTACTGTTGCATTTATAAATGCATTTGTAAAGCTTGTCATGTTTCTCCTCTCTTTTAATAAAGTTTGGTGTTTTTGTTAATTTTGTGGTTCATCATCTGCCATTTTTCTTTTGATAATCACGGGATTCTTTAAAAATGGTAGGAATCATTTGTATTCTCGTTAATGTTGTGATGCCACAAATATTTGCTGTACCAAATGTGTCCTGATAACCTTTAACTCTCTGACTTCTTCTTTTCTTTTTTTTTGAGCGAGTCTTTTTTAGCCACATCAGTACATTCTATTAAATGCTTTGGTTTGGTTTATTTAGTCTCTCAGGTTATATTTAAATGTCGAATTTGATCATTTCAGACAAACATTAGCTTAAGTTCTTCACAGACAACTATTATGCCACTAAATACTTCCATCACAGATGGGCGAATTCTGAAAAATGTGCTTTCTGACATTATAACTGACATCTTATATTTTATTAGGGCAGATTGAGAACTTTAATTACAGAAAATGTTACATGTTTGCTGAAGGTGAAACACAAAACTTATGTATTTAGACAGAAACGGCTTAGAAAGGCGTGTAAAGTATCATAAGGAGTTAGGGTTCTGACAGTCAGTTTGACGCGACAGCATTTAAAAATGTCATATACTCTAATTACGAGTATTTTGAATCCAGAATGACATGTAGTCAGTTACTTCTGCTTGTTAAAGCAAAAACGTCAATAGGTTTTTCATAAATTGCTACATCTCAGTTCTCACACTCCAGCACATTGCAGCTCATATTGATTAGAATGGTGCATATTCATATTGATTACAAACAAAACTTACATTTTAACTGAAAAGGTAACATTTCTGACTCTACAGTGACTAGTAAGCAATGCACAAGGTTTAATTGCCCTCATGATGTTTTTCTGAGGACAGGAGACAAAACAGCCGCTGGCAAACCAATCCAGTTTTATCCAGTGCACTAGATAGTAACGCACCAGTTTGTCAGAGACACTGATGAGTTGCACAAAAATACCCAAGATTGTGCAAATAACCCCACAAGATGACCTAATAGGCTCAACTAGTGTTTGAGAAGAAATAATCCAGCAATACATTACAGGTACAGTCCGATCCGCCATGGTCACACTATATAGGAGAAAGGTGAGAGTGAAGCGCGAGTTCATTCTGTGCTTTATTTGGAATGTTCCTGACCTCACACAGAGAGGAAAAATCAACAAGTGACAGGACACACATACTGAAATGTCACGCATGAGAACCGGTCTGAAATCAAGCACACAACACGTGCTGCAAAAACCACAAGCTCCAGCCTTTTGATTTGACGGATAGGCTAAACATTTGTCATTGTTTTAAATGTAAAAGCATAACAGTATGAGTCTGACATC